GCACGCATGGCCCACGAACCATGGGAGGGTGCGGATAGCGACCGCCCGAGCTCCCGGAGGAACGCCCGTGCTCACGCTGCGCCGCCACAAACGGCGAGCGGCGAGGGAGTACCGAGCGCTTCTCGGTGTCGTGCACCTTCGAGTAGGCTGCCTTCAGCACGACCTCCATCCGCTTCGAGTCGTAGATGCCGCCGCAATTGAAGAGCACCTGCGCTCGCTCCTTTTGCGACAGCCCAGCGCCACGGAGCATCTTGCTCGCCAGCGCGCGATCGCTGATCGCTGACGCGGGGTCCTCGAGCTGCAACTCCATGCGCTTCTTCCGAAGGTACGTCGTCCAATCCATGATGGGCTGCCCTGCTCGACGGTGTGCTCGCCCCCACTCCTGATGCACCTGGCCCACGCGCTCGTGGCCCATCTTCTCGAAGGCGTCATCGTAGATAGCGAAGATAGTCTCGAGCGTATCCTCGCGTCGAAGGTCCGACGCGTCAAGCACGTCGACGAGCTCCTTGGCCCGACCTGTCACCTGGCTGTAGATGATCAGGCCCAGTTCCACGTCAGAAAGCTGGTTGAGATTGCGGATGACCTCAACTGCCTTACGCCACTCCCGGTACTTCTTGGTACTCGTACCGACGGCACCGTCGAACTCCGGGAGCTTCACCTGCGACAGCAATAGACGTGTGCGTATGGGACCGCTGTCGCCGCCGCGATCCCGATGCAAGGCCAAGAGCTCCCTCTGGGTCTCAGCCATCACGCGCAGGACCGCGTGCAGGTCTGGGGGACCTGCGCCGACGGAGGACGCAGCCTCCGCGTCTGAGCCGTCTTGGCTGGCAGCCATGGCGGCCCGCGCGGGTGGTCACAGCCACCGAAACAGAGCACGCAGTGCGTCCGCTGGAGCTTACAAGCTCCGCTACCAATGTCAGTGCAGTTTTTTTAGCTCGGACCGCGCGGCAGTCCAACTGCGGGTGCAGTCCCAGGGCCCTAGGACTAGGGCCAAAACAGCGGCGGGCAGCGTGCATGCCACAAACATGAAAAGCATGTACATCATGCGTACACGATGGCACGGGCGGCAGAGGGGCAGGGGAACGCACTCTTCACACCCCCCCGCGCTCATGAAGAAACCCAGAGTATCGTTCCCCAGGCGGTGTAGCCAGAAGACGCCCGCCACATGTACTACACGATCTCTGAACGCGCGCGCGTCGCCCCCAAGGGGGCTGGCCCCCAAACATAGTAGAAGTACTGTGGGGGAGGCTCCTCTGAAGGTCGGAGCCTTTCGGGAGGGCCTGAAAGCTTCCCTGATGGGCCTGTTTTCCACCACAGCCACCATAAGTTGGAGGGGGGAAGGATGAGGAGACGAGGAGGAGGAGGACGACGAAGAGAAGGAGGAGGAGGTGGAGGAGGCGGAGGAGGAGGAGGACCACCTCCCCCTCCAACTTATGGTGGTGGTGGTGGAAAACAGGTCCATCACTCCCGCCCGAAAGGGCTTCCCGTGGAATCCACGACGCTGGGAGAGGGCTTCTGCGAGGCCACCTGTCGCCCCGAAGCTCCCCTGCCTCCTCGGGGAGGCCGCCTCCCTCGAGCCACGCCGCCAGCGCAAGCCGCGCACCCAGAAAGTCACCACTGGGTGGCAACGTCCGAACCCTACTGCCACCAACCATTAGGTCGGGCCTGTCCCCCCACAGGCAGAGCTTGGGCGAAAAATTAAAAATACTAAACACATACCCCAAATTGTCAAACAATATTATTTCTCATCAAAACGTCCCCAGGCTATGTTTCGACAATGTTTGAATTTTCCCCCTGAAGAGGGACAGGCCCGACTTAAACCAACCACCGATTCTCCTGAATCGATCCTCCTGAATCGATGGGAAGCGGGGGTAGCCTCAGATTTCGCCACGTGTTCGACGAAATCCGGAATCTACCCTCGCCGCCCATCGAGCTGCGTGAGCCGTGGGTCGGCGAGGGTGGGGACCGGATCTCGCCGCCGAACGACGGCGCGAGGCCGCGCGGCTCTCGGGTCGCCTTTCCGGGTCGACTCGGGCACCCCCGGAGAACGCTCCCGGCGAGGCGCGGCTGCCGGAGTTCACGCACCCCGAGGCAGGAGCACCTCCAGGAGCAGTCGGAGACGTCAGACAGCCCTCTCCCCAGACGCCCGACGCCGCGACTTCCTCTGCAACGGCGCCCCCAAGAGTCCGAACTTTGGACCAGGCCCTGTGCTTCATCCCGAGCCGTTTCTTGACAGTCCTGGGGTTGGTGAGAGCCCCTGGAGACCGAAATCCGCCGACCCTGTCGGCAAGCCCCTTCCGTTTGATCCCACCCCCGCCAAGACGGGGGGGGGGCCCGGGGTGGCGCCACCTCTCCCTGAGACTCCAGATGGCTCCAAGAGGCTCCAGATAATCAGCCCAAGATGGCCTCCAAGATCGCTCAAGGTACCACATAATGTGTCAAAACATTTTCAAGCATGCCTCCAAGAGGCCTCGGATCCGCTCTAAGGAAGCACCAAATGGCCACGGAGTTCTCCCCGAACAGTCCCCCAGAGGCGAACATCAGTCAACTTCCTGCTGGTTTCCAATGTTTTTAACTTTCTGACTAGATGGCTGCAACATGGCCAAGGAGGACCCCTGAGGCGCTCAGAATGGCCCCAAGACTGCGCCAATAATGCCCGAAAGCGCCTCAAGCACTCGCCAAAAAGGCCCTGAGGGGCAAGTTTTCGCGCCACGACGGGGGGACACATGTAGGGAGCCCCTCCTTCTGCAATCAAAGACCTCAGAGAAATCCCGAGAGGGCAGCCCAGGGCCTCCGAAAGAGCCCGAAGAAAGCCTCAGGAGGGCACTAAGAGAGGCCCAAGAGGGCCCAAGAGAACTCCGAAATGGCCCCTTCTGAGGGCGCCACGATGACCCCACGAAGCCTCCCCGTCCCACTCTCTCGTTTTCCCCTTCCCCGTTTCGTCCTACGGTCCCTTCCCTTCCCTTCCCTTCCGTTCCCTTCCCTTCCCTTCACTTCCTCCTCCTCCTCCTCCTCCTCCTCCTCCTCCTCTTCCTCCTCCTCTTCCAGCTCCTCATCCTCTTCCAGTTCCTCCTTCATGGGGGAGGAGGGAGAAAGTGACCAGACGAAGGAGAAGCCCCTGCCCCCTCTCCCTTTTCTCGTTTCCCCCCTTCCCCCTCCTGCCCTCACATCCTCCTCGTCCTCATCTTCCTCCCAGCACGCACCGATGGCGGCACCAGCACTGAGGCCTACTTCCGAAAGCCACATCCCCAGACATGCGACGTCTTCATTATTTCAACCCGGAATCCCTGAATTCCGAGACCCTCTCTCTGGGGGTCGACCTTTCCTCCGGAGTCGCTCGACTGCCCTCGGGCTTGGCGAAGGCCCCCGTGGAGGCCGAACATCGGCAGAACACTCCCGTCGTTGTTTTTGTCACCGCTCGAAGGAGTCTGGGCCGCGCGCGCCTAAGACGAAGACAAGACAAAGAAATAAATTCGGGCAGTGGTAAATCAGAAAAAGCGCGTGCCGCGGTCGCTTGGAGGGGGGGAAGGGGTTTGGAACCGGACCCCCCCCCGCCCCCTGCTTTTCCTCTCTCCCTCTCCTCGGCTGGCGGCGGCGGCGGTGGGGACGACGATTTCCTTTTCTGGGCCGGCGCGGGCGCCTGCGGCGGCGGGCGGCGGCGGCTGGGAGCGTCGACGAGGACGACGGTGGTGGTGGTGATGGGTTGTGGTGGTGGTGGTGGCGGTGGTGGTGGCGGTGGTTGTGGTGGTGTGGTGGTTTGTTGTGGTGGTGGTGGTCGTTGTGGTGGTGGTGGTGGTGTGGTGGTGGTGTGGTGGTGGTTTGTGGTGGTGGTGGTGGTGGCGGTGGTGGTGGTGGTGGTCGTGGTGGTGGTGGTGGTGGTCGTGGTGGCGGTGGTTTGGTGGTGGTGTGGCGGTGGTTTGTGGTGGTGGTGGCGGTGGGTTGTGGTGGTGGCGGTGGTTTGTGGGGGTCGTACTGGTGGTGGTTGTGGTGGCGGTTGTGGTGGTGGTGATGAAGTGGTTTGTGGTGGTGGTGGGCTGTGCTGATGGTAGTTGTGGTGGTTGTGGCGGTGGTGGTGGTGGCGTGCTAGATTGTGGCGATGGTGGTGGTAGTGGTGGTGGGTTTTTGTGGTGGTGGTGATGGTGACTTGTGATAGTGGTGGTGGTGGTGGTGGTGGCTGTGGTGGTGGTGGTGGTTGTGTGGTTGGTTGTTGGTGGTGGTGGTGGTGGTGGGTTGGGGCGGTGGTGGTGCTGGTAGTGGTCGTGGTGGTGGTGGTCGTAGTGGTGGTTATCGTCGCTGCGTCCCCGCCGTCGCCGGCGGCAGCGCCAGCGCTGCTGGCCGCCGCCAGCGCAGGCGCCAGCGCCAGGGGGGTGGGGAGGTTTGAACCCCCCCCGCCCTCGGTGCCAGGGAGGGGGGCGGAGGTTTGAACCACCCCCCCTCCTTGGGTTGCCTCTGGTCATCGTCGCTGCGTCCCCGCCGTCGGCGCTGCTGGCGGCCGCCAGCGCGGGCGCCAGGGGCGCCAGGGGGGGGGGGTCCCCCCCCCCCCCATGGGGGGGGGGGGGGGGCGGGCAAGGGTTCGGGAGGGGGTGGGGGTGTGGGGGAGGAGAGTCCCCCTGGTTTTGATCGACGGCGCCGAGTGTTGGGGGGGGCCCACCCCCCGGTTCGAAACGCGCCGCCGAATGTTCCCAAGGCAAACGTCCGTGAAACGCGTTTTCTCGTAGATCAAGAATTCATGAGATCCCGCGGCTCTGGAGGATGTCTCGGGCGCCGTGGCCTTCTCAGAGCGTCCCGGAACGTTTTGAAAGCGTTCCGGACCGCTCAGGAACGGATTTATCCTCCTCCTAGCCCCGTCCGAACGCCCCAGCGGGGCCGGGCTGAGGAGCCCCGAACGGGCAGATGGAACCAGCGGCAAACCCAGGCCTCGCGGAAAGGATGGCACGGCTGGGGCGCTTAGCTTTCCTCGCAGGCCGACCGCCAGGGAGCCCGGGCAGCCCGCGCCGGGCCAGTCCTCGGCGCCCTCCGCGCAGTCGCCGTCGCCGCCACAGGCGGCGTCGGCCCTCGCGGCGGCGGCGGGCAAAGCCTGGGCAGAGCACGGGCGCCCCCAGCCGGGGGGCGCGCGGCCCAGGCGCCCCCAGCGCAGCGGCTCCGCCAGGCCCTCCGCCTCTTGAGAGAAAGAAGGGTCTTTGCGCGGCCTTGCCGACCCAAAGCAAACCATCCCCTTTCCGTGACGTCATCCTCGCCTTTCAAGCGTCCCTCCGGCCGCACACGTCTTGGGGCGAGGGGAGGGGGACGCCACGGAACGGGATGGTCTGCTCATGCATGGTCGGAGAGGCCGCCCCTGACTTAGACAAGCTCTCATGGCCACCTTACGCCGCGGCTTGCGCGGGCAGGAGGCTCTCACGCGCGACCTCTCGCGGAAAACCTACGCGCCAATGACCTCGCAATCGAAGCCATGTGTTCCGTCGCTTAACATGACGAGAGCGAGCCCTGCGGGAAACGGGTCCGCTGGGGCCAGGGCCAGTGATGGGGCCTGGGCTGGGGGCGGGGCCGGGGCCAGGGCTGGGGTGGGACGACCCACCATGGAGCCAACCCGTCAAGCAACTAGCCCGCAATCAAGCTCGACAGACGGACACGACGCAAGCATCCCGTTCAACGCATACTGCCTAAGGCGACTGCCAACACCCTCCTTCCCCTCCTCCTCCCCCTCCCCCTCCCCCTCCTCCTCCTCCTCCTCCTCCTCCTCCTCCCTCCCTCCTCCTCCTCCTCCTCCTCTCCTCCTATTCCTTCTCTTCCCCTCCCCCCCCCCCTCCGCCCCTCCTCCCCCTCCTCCTCCTCCTCCTCCTCCTCCTCCTCCTCGTCCTCCGCCTCCTCGTCCTCGTCCTCCTCCTCCTCCTCCTCCTCCTTCATCATGCTCCCTCTTGCCTTCTCGAAGTAAAACTCACAAGCTACGTGTTACACGAGACGAGCTCGCACGGAGCGTCCCAGATCGTCCCGCATCGGCGGCGCAGGCCGGAGGACCTGGCGCCGCGCGCCCGGCGCCACTGCGCCCATGACAAAAGCGGCTGACCCTCCGCCGCGGTGCTCCGCCCCAGCATCTGGACCAGCGCGGTCGTTAGTTCTGAATCGGGATCGTCCTGATCAGGGGGGTCGCCGGCGCCGCGCGCAGAGCGGCAAGGACTTCGTGAGCTCCGCAGAGACGAGCGGATGCTCGATGCCCATGGCCTTTGCCGCGCTGCGGCTCGGTGGCCAGCGCCTCGAATCTCGACCTGAAGCAACGGGGGCTCGCGCCAGCGAGCCGAGAGAGAGAGTCCCTCTTGGCGTTCGAATCCGATGATTTTCCTGCACAGGCCTCAGGTTCCCGATGTTGAACTCCAATCGGGAAGGCACCAAGCGGACTGCTGTGAGCGTGCCTTGGGCAGCCCGCTTCCCTGGAATGGCCTAAGCCAAAACGCGGCGTCAACTCTGAAGTGCACGGAGAGCAAGATAACAGAAAGACAGAGAGAGAGAGAAAGGATACACAATAAATTCTCTCGGGTGGGAAAGAGAGAGAGAGAGAGAGAGAGAGAGAGAAAGAGAGAGAGGCCCATCGCGCGCCTCGTGGCACTGCAGGGCTGGCCATGATCAGCATCAGCTCTCTGGGCAACGGGGGGGGGGAGGGACCTGGGAGGGATGCCGCATATCAAATAGGAGGGGAAGGAGTGCTCCACGCTCATACTCTGGCAGCATGGCACCCACTGGAGCCCCAAGTCGAGCTGATGCCATCTATCCTCCACTGGCAGGAAGAACTTGAAAATGGAACTTGAAAAGGGGAGGGGGAAGACGGGAAGACCTCTGTGTCTGAGTTCGTCACTAAGGTACAGCTTACGTGACCTACAATCAAGACCTCCAAGGTACAAGGGGAATGGCCTGAAGCTGGAAAAAAGGAGGCAGGGAAAAAAGGCCCATGGTGCGGTTCACACCTGAGGGAACAGCTCACGGCATTAGTACATCACCTCTGGGAGCCTTCTTATCGGACGAGTGGGGGAGAGGGCAGGGATAATATTTAAGAAGGAGAGGGCAGGGGTTATCCGAGACCAGGGCATCAAATCCTAAGAGAGATCGGCTCCGAGGTCTCATCACAAACCTGCTTTACCTTACGGGGCCTAGTTCCCTGACACTGGTTGGGGTGGGCTACAGGCCTAGGGAGGAGAGTTAGAGCACTGCCAAGTGGGAGTTGACCTGCCATCACTGGGATCGAGGCCCCTACCAGGCCCGTGATCATGTGACGGACTATTGCCTGCTCCTGATCATTCGCTATCGTGAACGGTAATGCAAACATGTTAGATAACTCTTGTAGCATTCCAGCCTCTCGGGCATGTGTCCAATGCAAGGTGAGATACGCACGGACAACTTGGATCATCCTCCACTCCTTGACTGGAATCAAGATATTCACAATGAGAGCAACACAGAAGCCAATCACGAAACCTAGAATGATCCAGTCACGAGGTGGTCGACTCGATATCACGAAGTTCTTCTCATGGCAGATGTCTCCGTCCTCGGAGTCTGTATCAGCTCCAATGGTCTCGGCACTCACATCTCAGAGGGCACTGCCATTAAGAATCCCCAGGACAAGCTGAACACGCTTCGCCTTGCTCGTCGGTGGAGGGCGCTTCGGGAGATGGGCGATGATGCACTTGTTGATCTGCGCCACCACCGTCTTGTCTACCATGCGCGCCTCCAAGACCTGAGCTGCCTCTGCCCAAGTCATGCGTGTGCCGAGTTGTTTCTTGCCACCGATGAGGGACTGGAGCCAACCGATCTCCGCACGCTTGAGAAGGACCGTGCTGGCGGGGGCCTCCGCCACCGGTGTCGGGCTCACCTCTCGCTCGGCCACCGAAGATTTGTTCTGCTTGTTGTCGCCGTCCGAGGCCTCGAGAAGCTTGCTGAGCTGGTCCCCAAAGCTCGACTTCATGGCCATCGCCACATACTCGCCCTGCTTGCGAAGCTGCATCTCCTCCTCCCTGTCCTCCTTGTCCTTGAGCGATGCCTTGAACTCAGGGTCCACTGCGGCCAACTCCTCACGGAGGCGCTGGACGTTCACCTTCTTGCCTGAGGCGGAGCGGGAGCGGCGGCGGCCATGACTCTGACCACGGTCACGGTCTCCACGGTCGGAACCACGGCCACGATCATCACGGTCAGAGCGGAGATCATAGGGGCCATCACGGTGATCTCGGTGGTCGCGATACTCTCGGTGCTCTCGAATGTCACGAACATCCCGCGCGTCACGGTAGTAGTCCCGATGCTCCCTGGAATCCCGAGAGTCTCGGTAGTCACGGCCCCCATCCCGAGGTCCACGACGGTCGGGACTGCACCTGCACTCGCGATCCCACCTCCCGTCACGACGCCGAAAGTCATGACCGCGGTCCTGGTAGCCGTAGTTGCTGGGGTTCCCCTTACTCTCACGAGCTCCTCCTTTGTGCACCCAGGGTCGGCGAGGCCCACGGGGCCCCATCTCGGTCTGATGGAGGAAGAAACGTCGCCAGCACCTCACCGTCGCTCGAGCCGTCTGTATGGCCACGGACCAGGGGCATGCCTGCAGGGAGGCGATGATAAGCTTCGAGGGGTATCCCATGACGAATAACTCCAAGACGAGCTCCAGGACCCGAGACGTCACCACTCTCACAGGTAGGCTCAGGTATTGGGCTCTCGCGAGACGTCCTGTAAAGAGAGAGACCACCATATTGAACCCTCTTGGCGGGAGTCCAGGCCAAGGAAGACTATTTGTTTTTGGGCGGGGTTCTGCACAACCTTGGAGAAGCCAAACGCGGTCTCATTCTTCGGGAGAATGGAGATCTTATGCGCGGACGGCCACAACTCCAGGTCCAGCCAGATGCACGGGGCCCGGGGGTCCACGAGGTCCGAGGCTGGGGAGAGCTTGACATGGTAGACCTGGGACAGGTAGAAGTAGACACATTGCCTGCAGTACACCTTGCTAACACCTAGGATGTCATCAACATACCGTCGTTGTCGAATCTCCACCTTCCCCGAGGATGACGATATCTGGAAACCAAGGTCCTGGAACTGTTGTGGCCGACGGGAGGCTCGGAGTTCAAACCACGCAAGTAATATCGATAAGGCCACACCTGATAATACACCACCAATTGGTAAACCTCTAAGTTCATAGACAATCCCACCAATCGTCACTAAAGATAACCAACAATATGCTAACATCGTCGACGTTATATTTGCTATAGTAACCTTGAAATACGTTGGTGGGGTTCCTGATCGAAGCGTTTTGGTTTTGTTTTCGTTGCCACGTTTATCTAGTACTGCATCTGTTCCTAGACGATGTGATATTTCTGCTGATACCTACTTCCACGCTTGACCGATGAGAGTAGAATTACACTGCTCATACGCCTGATCAGCATCAGCAACAACAATTGAAATGGATGGGAGATGCCAAGAACAACGAAGGCACTCATCCGTGCTGGGTGGGTCAAGGTCCTGAACGATGCGGTTAATCGCACGAGCAGCATCCTTCATGCCAAAGACTTCACATGATACCTCGCTCTCACGAAGAAGATGTCTCGTAGCCCTGCCGATTACACGATACCCTGCTGTCCCTGGTGCATCTGCTGAGTTAACAACACGGCGCACGCAGCTGTGACCTGGTTTCGTACAGCAACGCACACCTTCAAGAAGAAAACATTTGCTTTTGACTGCCGGGAATACATATGGCGGGTTTGTCTTTTTTGCATGGTGGGGTAACATATTCCTAGTGCGTAGCCGGGGGGGGGGGGGGGTCCATGTATAGCCCTAGACCAAACCATAACGCTGCATCATACTTAGATATATCCAGCCGCACTTGCCAATCTTTGTCAAGCTCAGCGTTTTGGCGGAGCCATCGAACCGCATCAACCCCATCTGCCACCCATATGTTATCACACTGTTTGTCATCTGCAATATAAATGTTACTGTCTGCTTGTTCCAAAGATGCCTGCATTTCTCGCTCTAGGGATCGCCATCGCGGTGGAGGTGGAGGTAGGGCCACGTCTAGCTCTAGAGGTAGAGGTGACGAGAACCTTTTGCAAATAATCCAGCCCTCGTCGGATCACTGGCTGAGAAAGTCGAGCTGCTTGTGCCCACTCCAAGAGGCATACCTTCGCACTCCTGAGGGCCACG